AAAAGATTATAACAAGCTTCCATACGTAACATGAGCTTAATATAATACAGACTCTGACGATATTCTATAAATATAAAAATGCGGTTTTCATAAATGCTATTGTTGGTATTATTTAATATATAATTGTGTAGATTACAGTGATATAAATATTAAAATGTATATATTAGGGTATTTATACCAATAAAAATATCCATAATGCAATATAAATAAATATAGCTTTTATAATTTACTTTCTCTTCCCCTTTGTCTGAAAATACTTATTTCTGCTAAGAAGAGGGTAGTAAGTGAAAGTTGTGTGACCGCACCAGATTTTTTATTTAATTATATTATTTTATAATTTTTATATTTTAAAGTACTAACAATTTATTTTCACAACATATGAAATAATAATCAAGATATTTAAGCTATAATAATTTTTTTTATTATCATAGCCTTATCACAACACAATTGGGAACTAGGAAAAATCCATGAATACAAATATCTTGGTAGATGGATAACTGAGGATGGAAGCAAGAACCAAGGATATCATAGAAAAAATCACTAGAGGAAGGCGGATAATTGGGACACTAAAATCTGTGTTATAGAACAAGAAAGTCTTCTTAAAAAAGAAAAAAACATATCATTCCTTTTTGAAAAACGTCACTCATAGGCATCTGAAGCGTGGGTGATCAAAAAGGAGAAGACAAGGCTACTATCATTTGAGACGGACTTTTAAAGACGCAGTTGTGCCATTTCCAGACTACAGCATGTTCCCAACAAAAATAATAGGCGGAATGCACAGCAGGAAACAACTATGCTCAACGATATAGAAACAAAAAGACTGAAATAGTATGGCCATTTACAGAGAATGACGGAGGACCGATGGCCAAAATTAGCTTTTCCTTATAGACTGATAGAAAGGCAAAAAGAGGAGGACCAAAGAAATAATGGTTACAGGATGTGGAGGAAGGCATGGCTGCCAGAGGTCTTAAAGCGTGAGTCTGGTTAGATCGAAAAAAAAAAGTACAAAATCTATAGGATACGATAAATAACAAAGTTGTTATAAAATCGTTAATAATATTTTTTATTTACTTTCATGCAATATTTTGTTAACAAATTTTTACAAAGCATTCACGGGAGCTAACTGAGTAATTAATTATAGCCGTCTAAGTTAAAAATCGGACATGCCATCCTCTCAAAAAATCGTTAAACATGATTTAGCAGATTGATTAAACACACTTTATACTGAATTTTGAGCACTAAATATTTCAAAACAGTTACGAGTTCTCACCAAATAGTTTAAGATATCAAACTTAAAAATCAATCATCACAAAAAAAAAAAAAAAAAAAAAAAATCACAAATATTTAATGTAAAAATTTAATACTGAACTTTATATAGATATATTTAAAAACATAACTAAAAAAAATCATGCCATCTATTACATAAAAAATAAAATGTTAAAAATGTTCTATATAATGTAAGTCTTAAGCTGTTAGGATTACTACCTGCATATTTGTTCCACAATAACCCACAAATTTTATAAGTCATACGATCCAGAAATTCCATTTCCTTGCCATTTAGTTTTGAAGTTAAATTGTTAAATCCTTGTCATATTTTTTTTTAGCTCAAATTGGTTTTGCAGACCTTGTAGATTTTTGGTCACTTGAATTAGCTTTCTGCACTTCTGGCTATTGCTTTTCAGTTTCTCACATGCTGCAATGCAGTATCTGTTGATTCTATCTATCCATTTGCTTTTTGGCTAACTGTTTGGCTTTGTGTCAACTACTGTGGCATACATTGTTGTGTAAAGGCTTTCTAATAAATTGCTTCATCCTACATACCTTAACTTCATCGCCAGCTTATCATTAGCTATATACTGACCAATATCAACAAACAGTTCTTTTAAGATCTTTCTCTTCTATGCATTGGTATCTCAGACCACTCAGTTTATCTTGAGGAGGATATTCTTCATAAAATTTCAAATCTAAGTTTTCAATTTTTTCTGGGTTGCAAGTTAAAGTATAGGTCTTGCAGCCATATATCAGCACTGACTTCTTATTATTTATTTTTTTAACCCAATAATGGTACACCTCATAGAGAACTAAAAGCACTGACTATCATAGCATTGTAATAATAATGATAACAATACTTTATTTATTCTGGGACGAGTCCCTTTAGAATAATACAGAAAGACATAAATATGGGCTAAGGAGCCTCAGAGATACATAAATAAAGATATAGAGTAATTAAACAGTCATAGTAATAAAATTAAAATTTATAAGTTACATTCTAATTTTAATATAACAGTTAATAATTAAAATTAAAATTAAAATTACTACACCCTTAATTTGAGATTTCTTGAGAATTGTTGACAAAGAATAAATATATTTTTTATTATAATAAATTATACATGATTGATATAATACTCTGATGATAAACATCATTTTTACTGGTTTAAATAAATAATGTTAAAAAAATATAAAATAATTAATAATGTAATTGAAAAAGTTATCTTAAATTTTACAAAAGTATCATCAAACACCTTGTCTAATAGCATTGAATATTTATAGTAAAATCTTAAACAAAATTTTATATAGAAAAATTTTAAAAAATTAAAAAGGGACAACCTCTTTCAAAAGATATAAAAAATTTAATATTACTCACTTACTTATTATTACTAACTAAATAGCTCCGCAGTCCGGGGTGGGCCCCCACAGTCCTGTCTGCACAGCACTTTAGTTTTCCAATTTCTTGCGCCAAATCCTTTTCAACATCCTAGACCTACTGTGTCTTAAGTTGCTCATTCTTTTTCTGATGATAAATATTTGTGTGTGTGTGATGATGAATACACAGGACTATAAAACCCATATAATTTGCTATTTGACTAGCTTCTCGATACACTTTCATTCTATATCAGTCCATATTTCCTCCTTACAATTTTCCTTCCAAAATTTGTATTGCGTTTATTATATAGGTTTCCATTGGACATAAAAAGAATTTAATATTAAAATTCCTTAATCTAATTTTAAAAAAATGAAATAAATATTGAAAAGATGAATACAATAATTGTTTAATTAAATGAGATTAAACATTAGCTCATTTCACTTTGATGTCAGCTAATAATATGATTTTTTTCTCGAGAATCCAATGCACCCAAATAGCATATCAGATACAAACATCCATTTTATTTATTTCAATCTACTATTCCTAAGGGAAATAAGAAATGCAATAATTCGTTGATTATAGCCATTCATCAGTTTTTTTCACATCAGAGACAAATTTTTTTGTAATTGTATGAACAATAACAAAAATTATATGGAGTCAACCATAGTCTAATCTTTGAGTACATTTTTGTTTATCTAGGTTTAATTTCTTCATGTATTTTGATGTACCACTTTGGATTTAAATTTACCAAAAATAGAGTAACTTCCATAGTTATAGCAGTTCTATGCAAGACATATATGTGACAATATTGCATGCTGGTGCTTAGATTTGCAAACTGGCGGCTAGGAGATTTTTAAATGGTATTCTTATTCATTTAATTTTTAAAAAAATTAAGTTCCATTTTATGAAACAATGAAAGAGTATTTTTGACTTGATATAGGTAACAAAATTGCTATTATTTAAATAATACTTATAAACGTTTTTGGTATACTCTAAAATTTAATAAAAGTTTAAAAATATTTTTTTTTAAATTAGTAATTATTGTGTAGGAGGTATGGCATAGTGGACGAGAGACAGAGTTGTGGCACACCATGTGAAGAATCCTGGATTGTGGAAGGCATTAGAAAAAGTTGGACACTCCTATTGTAAGGGAATAATGTGTTAATGAATTAAGATTATTTTTTAAATCTGTATCAATAAAAATATAATAATACTAATACCACCTCAATGCACTCTTACAACTTTTCAAGAGGTTTCTTGCAAAGAAACTGCTTATTTTCTTTCATAATGACCTCCTTCTTGTAAATCATATTTGAAACTAAAAAAGTCTTGAAAACAGAAATTTTACATACAAAATGTTTCCAATTCAAAATATCCAGTAACCTACTTAAGTAATTTTAGTAAAAAATTCAGTTAGGCATGTTTAAGTGTATATAAAAAAAGATACTCAAAATTAAATGAGCATAAAAAAACCACCTCCCTTCATAGTGATGTGTAAAGCACTGTGGAAGCTCATAGTTTTTCTCTCTTGCTGCTACTTTATAAGACAGGTATAGAAAACCAGAAATGGCTGATCAGCAATCAATACTTCACTATTTTTGTTTGTGTAAACATTTTTTTTTAACCTGTTCCTTAAATCACTTATGTTAATTTAACATATTTTTTCAGATCGTTTAAAAAAAAATTCATATTAATACCAAGCACTCCTCAAAATGGCATTTGCATACAAAGTTAAGATGAATGAATTATTAATAGTACATTAAATTATTAAAGTAGCGAAACTTTATAATTACAGAAACACATTTTTAATTACAGACCCATTCACTTTCAAAATTTGATACATTAGTTGTTATAATGAAATAGAGATTGAAAAGAATTTCTTAGAAATTACATATTTAAAACTAAGTATCTATGTAATGATAGTGGATTGATGATTGACTGTAGTGAATAATGAAGAGGTGGATGGTTGGAGTGATCAGTCAAAATAAAAATTGCAAAAATAAATAATAATATTTATTTTAACAATTTCCGATGTTTCCACCCGAAGTTTAGTCTTCATCATGGCTGTTCAAAGCGATCACATGAAGAGAATGTTAAAAAAAATGTAGAAAAAACTTTCTTCATGCGAATACTTTGATCAGCCATGATGAAGGTCTGAACATCGGGTCGGAACGTCGGCAAATGTTAAAATAAATATTATTATTTATTTTTGACATTTTTATTTTGAATGATAACCCCACCCATCCTTCTCTTCATCTATGTAATGATGGCTTAATCTGAAGCCTGCAGATTGATAAATATTTAAATTAGTAAATGAATGGATGAGAAGTGAAATGAAAACACAACAATTAATTTTAATTAATACTTTATTATTAGTGGCCTTTCTCTAATCTCTTTCTCAGTTCTTTTAGTTCTTTCCACATTTGATCTGGAGTATCTTTAGGCATCTGATCACAGAAATATTTAGTGCCAGATTCAATCTCCTGTTTCCAAAAATCGACAGGCACAGACAGTGCTTCTTTTAGATTGACGTCACTCAGCCCTTCAACATTTATGGAATCCTCTTTTGGAACAAATCCGATTGGCGTTTTTACAGCTATAGAATCATCATCGCTGGAAACTCTTCTTAAAACCCAGTCGAGGACTCTAATATTATCGCCATATCCAGGCCACAGCCATTTCCCGTCTTTACTTTTGCGAAACCAGTTAACATGAAATATTTTTGGAAGTTTAATACCTTCATGTAACTTGGGCATGTCAAGCCAATGCTGAATGTAATGGCCGAAATTATAACCAAAAAATGGCCTCATCGCAAATGGATCATTCATCACATTTTTTCCTTTGTGCTCGGCGGCCGCTGTTGCCTCTGACCTCATCATCGCTCCAATAAGAACTCCATGCTCCCAAGAAAAGCTTTGATAGATCAAGGGCACTCCTTCTGGCCTTCTTCCACCAAACAGTATTGCTGATATTGGAACACCATCCGGTGACTCCCAGTTCGGATCTATGATAGGAAGATTTCGAGCAGGAGCACAGAACCTCGCATTAGGATGAGAAGCTGGTTTCTTGCGATCCCAGGGTTTTCCATGCCAATCTATAATTGTTACACCTTCATCCACATCTTCCATTCCTTCCCACCACACCCCACCATCACTAGTTAGTGCAGTATTAGTGAACATAGTATCTTTGAATATCGTACGCATTGCATTAGGATTACTTGCACATGAGGTACCTGGAGCTACACCAAATATTCCGTTTTCGGGGTTGATCGCATGAAACATTTTTGTTTTCGGATTAAATTTAATCCATGCAATATCATCTCCAACACACTCTATCTTATACCCTGGAACCTTTGGAGTCAACATAGCTAAATTTGTCTTACCACACGCAGATGGGAACGCAGCGCAAATATATTTCTTTTCTCCTTTTGGTGGAGTTATTCCCATTATCAACATATGTTCTGCTAACCAACCTTCACTTTTAGCTATGGTAGAACCGATCCTTAATGCAAAACATTTTTTACCTAACAAAGAATTTCCACCATAGCCACTTCCGAAACTCACAATAAGCTTTTCATCAGGTTTGTGCATTATAAGGGTTTTTTCTGGATTACACGGCCACGGATTAGGTTTTTTAGATGATGAGTCCTCTGGTACTCCAACGGAATGTGTACAACGAACAATCTCATTCTGGTTAGATTCATTCATTAGTTTGCTCACTTTTTCACCCATCCTTGTCATAACCCCTGCTGCAGCTGCAACATAAGTCGAGTCGGTTATCTGAATTCCCATCTTTGACAAAGGACCTCCTGGAGGTCCCATGGAGAAGGGTATCACATACATGATCTTTCCTTTCATACAACCTTTGAACTTTGTATTGATATGGCAGTCCATTTCTTCAGGAGACATCCAATTACCGAGTTTTCCTACCACTCCTTCAGCCGGTTCGGGGATCGTATCCCTCTTATCCTTCGTGGTAATGGATGTTTTAGATTCGACACGAGCTACATCTCTTGGATCCGTCCTAGCTAGGTAGCAGTTGCAATACTTGGGTAAGGGTACAATCGTGCCATCACTCATCATTTTCTTAATGAAAATTTTCATTTCCTTTTCGGAACCGTCGCAGAAATGGATCTCCTTGGGAGTGGTTAGCTCACAGGTAGTTATGATATATTGACGCATCTTCTCTGGAAGTGATTCGATGCCATGTCCTCTTTTGAAGATCATTAATTTAGCATTATTAAAATTGAAGAATCGAGAAAACAGGTACTGAGTAATCATTGCTCTAGTAAAAAGCACAAATTTAGTTTAAAATGTATCGTTACACAATTAGTTTTATGTTAGTTAAACATTAGAAGATTACTTTATATAAATACAAAGTAATCCAATAGATTGGCCAAAACACATGTTATTCAAAAAATCATATTTTATTTCACTCAGAATACCGTAACAAAAGAAAAAGAGAAAGAAAAAAATGGGAAGAAGAAAAAGAAAATTAACAGAATATTTTGTCAATGGAATTAGATCAAGCGACTCTGATAAATATAACACTAATTTTGAAATCTTTCCGAAATCATAAATACCATTAAAACAACAAAAGCCCTACACCGGTTGATTATGGATTGTACGAGTATTAGTTATTAAACTATTACTTTTTATTGCAAACTTTATTAAAACGGAATTAAGAGATTTGCATTGTCTGTCATAGACAGGTCAAAAGTTGTCACACTAATTGTAAGTGGATTCTGTGAATTATTCACTAATTTAATTTCCTAAAAGGTTGTTTGATTATTTTTCGTAATAAACGGACGATAGATACCTAAATATCTAAATATAATATCAGATTTAGAGTTATGAAACTACAGTAAATATATTTAAGATTATAAATTATCTTTGAAATATTTTTATATTTCACTTCTTCTTCCACACATGTACAATGAAATAGTAGTGGATACTGTTGGAATATCACAAAGGGAAGATTCATCAAATTATTCACTAATTTAATTTTCTAAAACGTTACATGACAATTTTTCGGAATAAACGTTAATACCTAATTATTTTAATATAATATCAGATCTACAATCACTAAACTGCAGTAAATGTATTTTAGGTTATAAACATATGCTTTATAAAACCATGAAATGATTTTACATTTTACTTCTTCTTTCACACAAGTGCAATGAAATAATCTTTTTAACAATGCCATTGACCTGATTAAGTGGATTTTAAATACTATCTTCTTCTTCTTAATCCTTTCCTCTTCTACCGCTGTGCGGTGTGAGGAGCCTTCTTGTAGAGCCGAATCCACAACTCTCGATCCTGAGCCAACTGCCGCCTCCTCCTCCAGTCAATATCCCTTCTGTCAAAGGCCTCCTTGACACTGACCTCCCAGCTCTTCCTGGGCCTTCACTGAGGTCTTCTTCCCTCCACTTTACTTTCCACGGCTATCCTGGCCATTCGATTCTCTGGCATTCGAGAGACATGACCAAACCATCTCAAAAGATTTTCCTCCATCACAGTTTCGACTGATCTTATGTTCAGATTTTTTCGTATTATGGAGTTTCTAATGCGATCTCTCTTTGTTTTTCCTTCGACGCCGCGCAGGAATCGCATCTCCATGGCCTGAATCTGGCTGATGTGCTTTGTGGTGAGGGTCCATGACTCGCTGGAGTAGGTCATTGTCGGGAGGAAAGTATTTTTGTACATGGTCATTTTTGTCTCTTTACCCACTTCTCTCTTGTTCAAGAATCCTTTCTTGATGGCGTTGAAACACCTTCCTGCAGCCTTCACTCTTTCCTTTATTTCTCCGCCTATCTATCCATGTTCATTGATGTGGGCACCAAGGTATTTAAAAGTTTTCACTTGCTCCAATGGAACTCCACTCAAGTGCACTATTCTGTCTCCTCTTCCTTGTTTCCTGCCAATCCTAATAGTTTTGTTTTTTTCCACATTTATTTGCATGTTTATCTTATTTAATTCTCCCTGAAGAATGCGGAGGTTGAATTACAGGTTTCGTCCATTGCTTCCGAAAACCACCAGATCGTTTGCATAAGCGAACAGAGAGAAAAATACAGGCTGTAGATTTATGTATCCCACTTGATATGATCTCATATTTTGTTTTGCTATTTTTATTGCATTATCTAGCACTAGTGTAAATAGAAGAGGACTTAGACTGCACCATTGCCTAATACCTTGATTAGTTGTGAACTCTTCCGATATATTATTGCATGTTCTCACAACATTTCTTTGGGTCTTATAGAGACTTAGAATTTCCTTACGGAGGGCCGTTTCGATGCCTTTGTCTTCTTCACTCGGTCAAATGCCTTAGTGAGGTCTACAAAACAGGCATATATCTCTTTGTCGCTTTTTATTAATTTTTCAGACATTTGTCTTAAAGTAAATATGAGATCCTGTACTTCTTTTTGGCCTAAATCCATATTGTTCTTCACTCAGGGAGGATTCCACTGTTCTTAGTAGGCGTTTCTCTAAATTCTTTGAGTATATTTTACTCGCGACACTAAGAAGAGATATCCCCCTGTGATTTTTACATTCTCTGTTATTCCCTTTCTTAAATATTGGGACTATAACAGATGGTTCCCAATCCTTTGGAATGCTCTTTGTTTTCCACACAAGGTTTAGAATGTGCTGGATTGCTTCTATCCCCTTTTGGTTCATATACTTCATAATTTCAGGGGGGGTAATCTTATCTATTCCTGCTGATCTTCCTGTTTTCAGTATGCCTATAGCATCCACAATTTCTTCTACGCTGATAAAGTCTTCTTCCATCTCGATCACGTTCGTCCGTCCAGCTTTTTGATTTTCGTATTCAGTATTTTCTTTCAAAAGTTCCTTGAAGTATTCAACCCATCTCTGCATGATCCCTTCGTTGCTTGTTAGTATATTTCCTTCTTTATCGTTAATTCGCTTGAGAACAGGTTCTTTCTCTTTCGCATGTTTCGGAGCATTCTGTAGAAAAGCTTCTGATTTTCTCGGAAATTATCTTCCGAAATTTTCCCACGTTTTCAATTTGGCTTCTATGACCTTGTTTTTCACTCTTTGTCTTTGAGTTACGTATTTTTGTTAATCATTATGGGAATTAGATTTTAGATATATCTTCTTCCTGTTGATTTCCTCTTTGACCTCTTCATTCCACCATGCGGTTCTCTTTAGTTTTTGTCCACTATTTATTTTTCCAGAAGTTAATTCTGCTGAGTCCATCAGAAGTTTCTTGAAAGTTGACCAAGCTGTTTCGACGTTGTCCGAGTTCCAGGGGTATATTCCGCTAAGAACCTTTTCTTCTATGATGTTCTGATAAGCAGTTGCTATTTCTTCGTTTTTTAATTTGTAGGCATTTATCTTTTGTTCTTTTTGATACCTTTTATTTTCTTTCCTTAGCAAAACTTTATTCAGGCTGATGTCCATCCTCAAGTGCCTGTGATCGCTGCCAATTTCTGCGCCTCTCTTGACCCTGACGTCTATTGCATTTTTGATTTCTTCCCTTGGTATGAGAAAGTAATCTATTATTGATTTTTCATTTCTCCCTCGTTCCACTCTTGTATATTGGTGTACTATTTTATGTGAAAATATGCTATTTGCGACGATCATTTCGTTTGCGAGACATAGGTTCAAGATTCGTTCTCCTGAGTCGTTGAGATGTTCTGCACCGTTCTTTCCTAAGGATCCCTGCCATACTTTGTCGTCATTGCCAACCCTGCCATTTAAAATTCCCATAATAATATAGGTTCCATTCTTATCGTCTATTTCTCTTTTCAATGTCTCAAAGAACATGTCTTTTTCTGCAGCGGGTGCATTGTTATTTGGTCCGTAGGCAACAAGCAGTATGTAGAGTTTGTTATCCCATAAAAATGTTAGTTAATAATCTGTCATCTATAGCTTTCCATTCTGTTATGAATCTGGATATGTCTTTGTGGAATATGTAAGTACCCCGCTCTTAGCATGTTCAATGGGGTTCACTCCTGAGTATACCACCACAAAATCTCCGACTTGCTTCTCCCCTATTCCTATCTCCTTGGTTTCTGTAATTCCCAATAATGTGATTCCTGCTTTCTTTACTTCCTCCACCAGCTCTACTTCCTTTCCATTAATGCCTTTAACATTCCATGTTCCGAATCGAATTTAAAACATGTAATTTACGTTAAATATTATCAGTTTTCAAAAATTATTATTTACAATTTTTTTGCCGCTTTCCATTACTTTCTACAACTTTCTATATTAAATATTGTTTTTTCTAAAATTCTCTGGTTACCAATGATATATTATAAGTATACTTTCTGAATTGTATTTCCGGAGATTCATTTTCGACCTGTATAATCAATGATGTATCATTCTCCCAACTACTTAGAGGTAAGACTTCAACCGATAAATGTCAAATCCTGCCACAACAACAACCTCAAACCCAACCTAAAAATCCTCTTCATCCTAATATACCTAACCATCAACAACAAATTCGTCATATTCCTCCTCCTTCAAATGCATCAGATCTCACAAGTTTGTTGGCATCTTTCCTCGCCGATTTCAAATCCCTTGTTACTCCACTCATATCACTCCTCAAAAATCTCGTATCTCAACTCATCCCTCCTTTAAAAAAACCTTAAATGACTTACTTCCCTAAACCCATATCCATTCTCCTTGGGAATGCGAATGGTGTTAGAAATCATACAGACGAACTATCTACTTTAGTACTTGACAAGAACATTGATGGTGGCACTAATTACTGAAACTCGACTAACCACTAAAAATACCACAATACCTGACATATTGTACTGACCACCCTGACGGTAGGGCACATGCCGGTACTGCTGTAATTGTACACCAATCCCTCTCCCATCACGTACTCCCATTATACATGATTTCTTACAGTCCACCGCTATCGTGATAAAAACCTTCTCCTTTCCGGTTACTCTTGCATCAGCGTATTGCCCTCCTAACCGTTCCATATCCAATGCCCAATTTAGTTCTCTCCTCGACTCCTTAGGACATCACTTCATCTTGGGTGCAGACCTAAATGCCAAGCACCAACAATGGGTTTCCAGAACCACGAATTCTCGTGGTCGAACCCTGCTGTCTGCACTCAATTCCCAACGCTTTCACCTCCTTTCCCCCAACTCTCCTACCTACTGGCCCACAGATCCAAACCGTAATCCTGATATTCTTGATTTCTTTATCCACAGCGGCTTAAGTCCCCTCAATTGTTCCATTACACGTCTAAATTAACTTTCCTCTGACCATAGTCCTCTAATCCTTAATGTTTCACTAGAACCCGTTCCCAAACCTTGAAGTCTGAGAAAGAAATCAAAATGTTTCTATGCGTTTTAGAAATAAAGTTCCGATAAAAATTCCAAATAAACTATTATTTATCATTAATTATTATTGACAGTTCGAT